TTTGATTTTTAAAAAAAAATCCCGTTTATCTCAACAAATGATCTCCGAATGAAACCTTTAAGCTCAGATTAAATGTTGGGAATGACTCTCAGCTCTAGTTTCAGGTCAGCATCTTCTGTGGCGGCCATCTTGAATCAGGTTAATTCACTTCCTGAAAGTTTCATTTAAATCTGTCCTGTGGCTCATGAGATATTTTGCTAACAGACAGAAACACTAAAGTCCCATCAAGAAACGGGTAAAACATTAAACTGTAGTAGGAAATGATTTGACTTTTAACTGATAAAATTTACTTTGTATTTTCCCCACTTAATGAAATTTTCATTCAAATTAATTTCATTTTACAAAAAATTTAATAAAAAGGGTTGTAATTTTTTTTGCATAACTTCAGATATTTTAGAAGTTTACCTGATGATGGGACGTCTGCTGTGCCTGAGGAGCAGAGGCTGATCACACAGGTGGAAACAATCAACCTGATCAGGTAAATCCACCAGTTACCAAAATAAAACAGGAAGTGAAGAGAAAAAATAAAACGTTCTCTGAAATKTTTCTGTCTTCTGCTACTTTTAGTCCTGCAAATTGTTGATTTTACCTAGTTTTACACAATTTTAGTTTTGATCGTTCAAGCTTTTAGTTAATTTTGCTACATTGTTGGTTTTAGCTACAGTTTTGCAAAACTGATAAATTTAGCTTTTAATTATTTAGCTCCACCTTGAAGCAACTTCTTGCAGTTAGCATTTAGCTTTTTTTGCAAATGATAAATTCTAGCTAAAGTTATACATTTAGCTATAATTTTGCTAATTTTACCTTTTAGCTTAATTTTTGCTAATTTTAACACTTAGCTAGTTTTACCCTTTAGCTATGCTTTTCCTTTAAGCTACGGTTTTGCTTATTTTACCATTTTAGCTACAGTTTTGCTACTTTTACCATTTGGTAAAGTTTTACATTTTAGCTATGGTTTTGCTACTTTATCTAAGATTTTACCTTTTAGTTACAGTTTTGCTAATTTGACCTTTAAGCCGTTTTATTTTATTGCTATGATTTTGTTAATTTTGGATATTTGTTTTCAGTTTCATTGATTCTAGCTGGGAGCTATGGTTTAGCTTATTGTAGCTTTTAGCTATGGTTTAGGTCATTTAGTTTCTTAGCTGGTTTAGCAACAGTTTTGCTGCTTCCAGTTTTAGTTAAAGTTGAGCAGATTTTAGCTTGTGTTGAGCTATAATCTTTCAGCTGATGGTTGATTGTTTCGGCTGCAGCCTCGCAGTTTAACTCTGTAGTTTTGATCAGTCAGTGCAGCAGAACAGCAGCTCTGGGTTCAGCTTCTTTAAAGAACTATTTTTTTCTTTATGATAAATAATTTGACAGCTGCAGCCGTTTCCCTCCTCGGCTTTCGGCTGATGTTTTACTGACAGCTGAAGGCTCAGCTTGGCTCCGGAGTCTCTGACAGCTCAGATGAGTCAGGCTCTGATCAGAGTCCAGGCCGTGGATCCTGCAGCTCTGTGGACGACAGGAAACAATCAGCTCTTAGTTTTAAACACTTCAACTAATCGAGTCAATTCTTTTTTTTTTTTTAACCACTGAGGTGTACATGAAATATTTAGACCACCTGGTCGTCCTTTTTTTTTTTTACAGAGGAGACTTTGTGGATGCTGACTTCAGGGGTTCAGGTGTTCATAAAAACTTCATGATGCTCAGTCCTGCAGTGGGATGGAAACACTGCAGACTTTTATTTTCCAGTGTTGTTCACTAATCAGTGTGATTTTTAAACAAACATTTTGATCTGGAAATAAAAAACTCWATGTTTCAATAAAAGCTGCGTTCCAGTTCTGCACCCCTGCAGCTAACAGGACCCCCTCTGAATGAATGCAGCTCGTTACTGGTGCTGGACCAGTTTCCCTCGGGGGATCAAGAAAGAATTTCTCATTTWATTCCCGTTAGACACGGGGTAACAGCCGTGTACCAACAGGGATTTGTTAAGTACCCCCAAAGGTTCTCATTTCACTGTAAGAAATCAGACCCTGTAATTATCCTGTCTGTAACCTCATAAATATACCAAGTACTGTGTACCCACAAATACCCAGTAATTACCCACCTTAAATAACCTTCATATAACATATCACTGTTTCACTGCAAGTACCCTGTCAATATAGTACCTTGTGAGCACCAATGCCCCCTAGGTACCCTGCACCTTACACCTTACAACTTTGCACCCTGCATTTAATCTCTTCGTACCCTACATGTTACCACTTCGTACCCTGCACATAACCCCTCTGTACCCGGTTTGTAGCCCCTAGGTACCCTGTGTGTAAAACCTAGGTTTCTTGTAATTAACCTCAATTTAGATCTGTGTACTCCCATAAAACCCCTGTATGTACCCTTTATGCAACTTGTTTAGTATTGTATGCACTCTGTAAGTACTGTGTAAGTACCTTTCTTCTATGTTTATACTAAAGCATGGAATGACATTCCTCAAAACATAAAGTCCATTTCAAAACTACAGCCCTTTAAGAAGAATCTTGTCTGCCATCTGCTGGACACTTTTTGTTKTGCTCATATTTAGACGTCCTATTTTGCAAATGCTACCTTCCTGAAATTTGGTATGCTTGTTTGTCTTTGTGTYGTCTATGGGTKWATAATGATGTGATTGTGATGCTGTAATTCTGAGTGTTTTATGTGCTGCAGAACAGGAACCTGCTSTAAAACAGCAATTATGCTGAGTCAGGCTTGATTTTTAGTAATCTTTTCCTGTTAAATCAATAAATCAAATCAAATCAAGCTTGTGTCGATACACTGTATTTGGATAAAAAGGGTGAGCCTGTGGGTTGATGCTACTGGGAGGCAACRGGAATCAACTTGAAACCCTCGATGACCTCAGGAACATCATGATGCATCCCAGAGAAGATAAAAGAACCCTGCGTGTTCTCTACATCTACAGTGTAAATACATTGTGTGTGAATCAGTAAGAACTGCAGTGTGTAGCCTGTAAATACATTATAAGTACCTTTACACACATCCTGTAAGCGTCATGTTCCCCAGAAGTACCCTGTAATTAACCTACATGTACCCCTGTAAGATTTATCACTGATTCTTTTCAGGAGGAGTTCTGGWGCTCTGAGGTCCAGGTTCTTCTGCCCCCTGGTGTCGCAGCAGCTGCTAAAAGAAATCTGACCTGAGAACTACAGATCAGGTGCAGATTACAGAGAAACATCCTGAAAATGACCTAAAATAAGACAGAAAGCCACTAAAACCTGTTTCTTGCAGGTGAAAGTAAACTGGATGAATTTTCTTTTTCTCCAGGATTAAAACATGAATCAGTTGAAGGGAGATTAGATCAATGTTTTCATTTTCTCACCATTTTTTTCCACCAAAACCTTCCTGCTCTGAGAATCGTCTCACAGGTAAACAAAATTTTACTGTTTTTCCCTACAAACGATCTGCTTCTATTTTTCACTTCTTTGATTCGTGGGAAGGTTTAAAACGTAATCCCCGCTGATTAAACAGTTTAAAAATGATGATCAGATGAAACCAGGATCAGTCTGTAAAACATTCAAGCTTTAATTATTCAGGCAGAACGTCTCACACACATTAGAAAGTTTTATTTCAAAACAGAAATCAGTGAATATCACCGTGAGTGAGACCGTGTGAGTTACATCCAGTTAAATAAAAACAAAACAGAAAATAAAAAAATATAAGAACAAAAATTATTCTTGAAAGAAGCTAATTTAAAGTCATTTTATCATTTAATTTGAAGGTTTTATCAACTTGTAACCACTGGTACACATGATTTTTATTAATCTGAACGATAAAAACTAAAAAAAAAAAAACTGAATTAACAAAAACCTTCAGGTCAGTGCAGAAACGACACTGAAACCTTTTCACCTGCTGGGAAGAAACATCACTTTTCCTGAAGTTTAACTCGTCTGTTAGTAAAATATCTCAGCGGACAGATCTGAATGATATTCAGTTGTTGGAAGTTTGCTGACAACAGATTGGAGTTTTAAACTAAAAYGTTCAGAAACGTTGGTGTTTGACTCGTGTCTGGACGCTGAGCAGCTTTAAATACGGCTGATTTCAAGTCGTCATGATCCGAACACTACAATTTAAAATATTTGGAACAAATTATCTTTTTTTTCCCAGTGAAAATAAAATAAAGCAAAACGTTTAAACTGTTTACAAGATCTAACGTCTCCTCATACAGTATGTCAGAAATTTACAAATAAAACCTAAGCCGGTAGTAAAAAAAAAAAAAGCAACTTTTGGATGGATTTCTGTAAAAACTAAGATTATGTGACAACATGACGTCAGCCTGAAGGCAGATTTCCGTAAAAAAATGACAAAATGTGCAAAACACAAAACTTGAAGACAGAAAAGAGAAAATTCTAAATATTTACAGAAAACATTTTACTCACCTAAACATCCAGAAATATTTTTTCTCACAGGATTTCAAACAATCATTTCTGCAACGATCAGTTTAAAAAGCAACATGTTCTGTGTGGACGGGGCAGGTTGGAGGTTTTATGGCTCTTCTGCTTGATTTCATTTCTAATTAAAACTTAATCTGAGAGGATTAAATTTACACCTCAGAGCTGCTGCAACACATTTCCTTCAGCCTGAAAACAAATCTGAAAAACAAACTGAAGGAGCAGAAAAACTCGGCTTTTATTGCATTTCT